CTCGGCTCCAGCCCTGCCCGAACAAAGGCGAGGCGGGCCGGGAGCCGCCGGAGCCCCCCCTGCTCTGCCCCTTCCCTCCCTGCCCTGGGGCTCCCCCCAAAACCCACCGCTGGCCCCACGCCGGAGCGGGACCCCCCCGCCCAGGGGAGCTCCCCAGGGAGAGTCAAATCATCTCCCAGCACTTCAGCCGCTCTGAGGTGTAGGTAAACATCCTGTTTAGAAACATCTGGGATGATTTTTTTTTTTTTTAATTTTTTGTTGTTGTTGTTCACTCCTCCCCTCTTCTTTTTAGGAAGAGATATGATGGGAGAAGGCGCTTGCACGGGAGCAGCAGACGGTTTCTGGACGCCACCTTGCCGGCTCTCCAAAGGTGACCCACCGCTTGGGCTCTCCAAAGGGCATCACGAAAGCTCTGGCAGCCGGGGCCCTGCAGTCCAGTACGGGCTGTGCTTCATCAGGCTCCTCACTACCACCCTTAGGAGGGGCAAAGAAATTAGGTAGTACCCTAAAAAATAAACAGGATTTCAACAAATCCAACGCCACAGTAAAGGACCTGCCCTCTTCGCTTATTTTCATTGCGGAAGACACCCACCACGCAAGTGCCGAAAGCACAGGGCAGAGGACGGGCACCCTCCAGAGCAGGGCCTCTTGGCATCTCTTGCCCAAACCTCCACCTACATCACAGGGTCACAGAATCACCCCGGTTGGAAAAGCCCTTGAAGCTCCTCCAGTCCAACCATGAACCTCACCCTGACCGTTCCCAACTCCCCCAGATCCCTCAGCGCTGGCTCAGCCCGACTCTTCAACCCCTCCAGGGATGGGGACTCCCCCCCTGCCCTGGGCAGCCCATTCCAACGCCCAGCAGCCCCTTCTGCAAATAAATGCTGCTTAATATCCAGTCTAAACCCTCCCTGGTGCAACTTGAGGCCATTCCCTCTTGTTCTATTGCTTATTACTTGGTTAAAGAGACTCATCCCCCCTCTCTGCAACCTCACTGCAGAGGAACGTGCTTCCTGGTACTGTTCGTATTTGCTGGGTCCAGCTATTTATTTTCTTCTGAACCTCCCTCTGGACAGGACTCTAAGGCCATTTCCAGGGAGGGGGCTGTGCTGCGGCACCGGTAATACCAGTTATGCTGGTTATGTGTGGATTATACTTACCTGGGGCCTCAGGGGCAGTTCAGGTTACGCTGAGCAACCCAAAGCCTGTCCTAAGAGGTAATCCCTCCCTTGAAGACCTTGTCTTCTAAGCCGCCACAGGAGTCAGAGCTCGATGGGGAAGGTGAGCAGGGAAAACAACGTGCAAACTTCACATCAGCTCTACCTTAGGATTATTATGTTGGATCTCCTTGGTAGGAGCTCGGTTGGAGCTCTGCTCCCAGCCCAGCAGCACAGCGATGCCAGGAAGGGCAGGAGAGGACCACTGTTTGAGAAAAGTCACCTTTGGAAAGCCCTGCTTACCTCTGCTGCAGACGTGGGTGGATGGTGGGGCTGCCGGGTGCTGGAAGATGGATCCACACGTGGGGATGGGGAACCCCTTGGAGATGGTCCCGCTGCAGCCATTTTGGGGGAAACAGTGGGGAAACAAGTACTTGAGCGCTCTTCAGTCGTGTCATGCAGAATGGATGCTGTCAAAGCATCGGTGGGGATGTGGGTGAAGAGCCTTGCTTTCTAGCTGGGTGATTGGGTTGGGTTTTGAGGTAAGAAGGGGAGACAGAGGTCTCAGTGAGCAAAACCTGACCAAAAAACCCTGTAGGTAAAGCCACAGATGCCTCCAGAAAAAGAGATGAATAATCTTCCTTCAACTAGAGAAAGAGGATTTCAAGTTGGAAAAACAGATTTTATTTCCTGATTTAAGTCTGCATGCTTCTGTTGCTTAGTGCAATAGGTAATTAAACACAAGAAGTGATATGTAAGAGATTCTTTGCATGAAAGGTAGAAAAAGAATTTATGCTCCAAGCATTTTAGGTGATTTAGGCAGATATGCACCCATTAGAGCATTAAAGCTGGAACAAGCCCTTATTATGACTAAATAGATTTATGACGAAACACATAATAAAGAGCATACTTTAGTTGTGAAGAACAGCTCCGTGAAACATCATTTAATTACTTTTTTTGCAGGGGCAGAAACTATTTCTTCATCTGCAAGATCCATGAACTCACCCAGCCCCTCTAGACCACTAATGCTCCCCTGACGTTACCAAACCATGAGCTTTGGTAGCATAAACCTGGCTGAACGACAGTGGTCATGAACTGACATGCAATTCCTGCCACATGTGGACCTTCTAAAAGTAATAAAGACATCGTTTTGGGTACTGATCCTATAACTTGCTGTGCCTGGTGAGAAGACAACCTCTAAGGGGAACTCTTAAGCTCCCAGACGCTGAGATGTTAATTTGTCACCCTCACAGTGGCATCACCCCTACCGGTTGGTCTTACCTGCCTGAAATATTAAAATGACCAACCACTGCAAGTGGTTATTTTTGCATTATCTGTACCAATACACCAGCATTTGAAAAGGAAAAGTCGTTGTTCTTTCCAGCTTTCTTCCTGCCAATTCCCAGCACAAAGAGAGGATGGGAAGAGTGAAAAAGCAAAGCAGCTATGAGTTATCTCTTGCTGGGAAAGCTAAATGGAGATCTGCAACAATTGATTTTTTTAATAATAAATTAATATTTACTATTTTTAATCTATTAAAATTAATAAATAGGAGAGGAGAGACAGTGACTGCATCGTAGCATCGCCCCAAGCAGGACCGAAGCCGAGCAGAGGAAACACCTGGGTGTCCCACACGCCCCAGCAGGGACTTGGCCAAGACATCTGGGGTGGGGGGCACCTGGACATCCCAGCTTCTTTTCCCCATAAACACGTTCACTCTTGCCCCCCCAAAGCCCTGCAACACCCCATTGCAACTGTAGCTGAGAACAACGCCTCCAGCGACCCCCCCAGCCCCTCTGCCCCCTGTTTTGTCCTTTTCTTTCCTTCCCCACTTGTCCTTTCCCTCCTGTCCTTCCCCTTTGCTTTGGCCCCTCTATTCTCCTCTTTGTCTCCCAGCTTTGCCTTTCCCCTCCCGGCCTTTAACTCTACCCGACCCTTCTCCTTGAGTTTAGGCTTAACCTTTTCCTTCCCGTTTTTGAGTTCAAATGGAGCCTTTTCCTGTTTTCCCCTCCTCGAGTGCTATTTTGTCTGGACCCCCCGTTTCCTCCATCGATAATACACTTTGTAATTCTGCTTTCTGATTCAACAGGCTCTCTCCTCTTCAGCCCTGAGATTTGCCAGTGACATCTTTTCAGTGACTTTCCCATTTATTAGGTGACCTCTAGGTCCGGGGAGGAGCAGCTTTTCATTCCAGCTTCCAGAGAAGAAAGCTGACAACAGCTGCTGCTTTTAAAACCCCAAATCAGACTCTGATTCCCTCCGGGAGATTCCAGCATGTATTCCCAAAGCCTGATTTTTGTCTGGCGGTACAAAGCTCTGGCCATCCCTGAGAGATGTGGTGTGACCAAGCTCTACCTGTCCTGACCGGGTACCACCATCAGAGCCAGAACCCAGGCGATGTGCCCCAAAACCTCCGCACAGGGTGTTCCCCCCTCACCAGCAGTAGATGTGGCTATTGGCCCCTAAGTACAATTAATCCTGAATTTGAGGCCTGGGAAAACCTTCATGCCAGGCTAGAAGGATTTCTTTAAACAAAACACAAACCTTAATTGGGTATATTTTGTGTCTTTATGGGTACTGGTCGTTTTGCTCAGCCATGCAAGCCTCCTGGGGGGGGGGAGAGGGGAAGCATTAGATCTAATAAATCATAACAATCTCCACCAATTACCTAAATTGGCTTTTCTAACCATAATATCATGAGTTTAGGTGCCAGGAGCTCAGGATCTACAGGAGTGAGAAGCGACGGCTGTATTTCCAGCTGTTGGGCACCACATTTCTTCTTCCCAGAGATTTAAAAAGCTTCACAGTGTGCTGATTTCTGGCAAGAAATGGTAAAAGTGAGAGGGGGGAAAAAAAAAAAAGGCATTTCTCTAGCCTGTTGGTTTGTTTTGTGTTTTCAAAAGTGGCTGCAAGAAGCAAGTAGGAGTCCCAGGAGGGCTGAATTAGCACCCCGGGAGAGATGGACTAGCATCCCAGGCACAGGGAAGATGGGCTGGGGGGATGGCCGGGGTTTTTACCTGTGCCCATCCCAGGTGCAACACACACCCGTGCTCAGAGAAGGGCAAAGGCCTGCGGTGGTGCTTCGTGGTTAGGGAGACACCCAAAACCCCACCGTGCAGGGACCCAGAGCCTCTGCAGGAGCGCGATCCCACCCACCCCCAGCTCCCCAAACCAGAGGGACCGAAGCAAAAGCGTCAGCAGGCTGTGGGGGAGCGAGCATGACCTCATCCCTCAGACACGCAGAGCCGCCATGAGATTAAACCAGAAAATAGTTACTGCTGCAGGGCCAGTGGCAGAAAGGGAGCCTGGCTCTTGGGAGAGAAAAGCCCCCTCAGCATCTTCCCCTTCCTCTCTAAAGCAGCTCCCAGCCACAGTAGGGAAAGACACCCCTTTTCCAGGATTTCAGCTATCCCCAGGGTTCTTTTAAGAGTGCTGCTACAAGTCCATCCAGGAGGGTCACAAAGATGCCATACAACCAGGAGAAGGGGAGGAGAAGCACAAGCCCTGCTCTTGGAGGCAGAGAGCTGGTCTCTGGCTGCCCCAAGGCAGGATCATTCCTGGCAGAGCTCTCCCTCATCTGCAGTTTAAGACCTCCAAAGATGGAGGGAGCCTCCACAATCCCCCAGGAATTATTTTTTTTTTCCACATCTTATTTTTCTTATCTTGGAAAGTTTTTCCTCCTGTTTTATCTGAGTATTTCTTGCAGCTGCTTATACCCAGGAGTTTTTGTGCCAGTTACTTGGATTTTCTTGCCTTTCCTATGGCCCTTTCCCTACATGAAGATAGCCACCATGCCCCTCCACAACCTTCCCTGATCTCCTCTGACCTCTCCCTATTCAGATCAGCGCTTTCCCTAGCTGTGACGCCGAGCTCACGGTGCACCCTGAATAAAATCCAATTAGCTGCCCTAATCCTCCACAAAGGTCCAGGGATACAACTTAAAGGCTTCTGGGCTTTTCCTCCAGAAGTGCAAAAGCAAAGTCATACCCATCTGCCTTGCACACCCCTTGGATCCCTTGCACCTGCAACACTCAGGCACAAACTCAGAGCCGCAAGATTTGCTCAGGGAGAATATAAGTGCAAATATGCACATCTGATACATCCTGCCACCAAACTCCTCCTGCTAACATACCAAAGATGCTGGATGCTATCACAAAGCCAAGTTCTTCCATGAGGCCCCCAAACACACTGGCATCATCACGATTTTTTGAGGTGAGGCTTGGCTGCAGGTGGAAAGCCAAGCTCTTCATACGGATTTAGCACTAGGAAGCAAGTAGCACATGATGCTGTGAATTTTGGGGAGGACTGAGGGTCCCAGTGCCCTTTTCCAAGACCTAGAAAGGAGAGCTGGGTTTCCGAAACAGGTGGGCCAGCCCAGATGGGAAACAGCAGTGAGCTCCCGTGGTGTGAGGTCCTACACTCTTCCCATCAACTGGCCACCCTGCAGCCCACGTCTCCAAAGGCTGCCAGACTCTGCTTCCTTGGAGAGGCCAGCACATGGCATGAGGCCATTCCCCTGCAGTCAATGACCCCTGACAGCAGCTGGCCAGCAAACACGATGTCAAGTTATCACAGGAAAATGGGGAAAATGCGTGAAGGACGACAGCAAGAACCCTCTGGAGACTGACAAATTCCCATACAGATGCACACCCTGCACCGAGACAGTGCACTGAAGCCCATCTCCTAGCAGAGCATTCAAGTAGAGCTGCATCTCCAAATTCCTGCAAGATATTTGCCTTGGCAACATCGCTGGGAGGTTTTTAGGGGCCAGGAGTCCCCCCTCAGCCCCCTGCCCACCCAGGGAAAGCTTTGGAAATTAAACCATAAAACTGAAAGAGAAATAAATGAGCCAGAAAGTGGAAGTCGACGCCGGCCTCAGCTGATGGGAGACACTGAACTGCAAGTTAAGGGATGGTGAAACAAGGTCAGCGAGATTTATACCGACAGCCTTGGATGGCTTCCAGCCCCTACCATCAGTGGTGAGGGCTTGGAAAAGAAGAGGGAAAAAGTTGCTCTCCTTCTAGGAACCACGCTGCAAGGTCTGCAGAGAAAGCTCTGCTGGCGTGGCTGGGTCCCGCCGATGGGAAAGCGAAAAATAAACCCCCAAAAAGATTTGTTTTCCAATTGTAATGCAACACGGAGCCCAGCTGCGGCAGATGTTGAACTCCGGGTCAGTGGGACCGCAGAGGAGTTCAGACGTTCAGCACCACCTCAGTTTAAATAAGCCAGCCACCCAGCTAGCCCAGACGCCTGGGTGAGGGGCTCCCCGCTGTGACAGGCGGAAACCGATTTAACCGCTCCTTCCCAAAAATACAGTGCCCACACCGAGGCTTAAAGCCGCCCTATTGCTGTGGCATCCAAGAGAAATATATATGCTGTATCCTCAGGACCCAGGCGGCTGTTAAAGCCTCTCCGCGTCGGCGAGCGGCTGGGGCTCAGACCACCTACGGCCTGGGGGGCACGATGATGGTGGCAGCATCGCCCACAACCCGCCAGCATCGCTTCATCCCTCAGTGCAGACGAGCTGTCCCTGCCAAAATATGCACCCGAGCCACGGGGCTGGCTGGTGGGAAACATCCGTCCCTGCCCGCTCTCTTGGCATCCCCGATCCTTCCCTTTATTTACAGCAGTATTTTTCATATCAAGGCCCAACATAAACTAGGTTAGACTTGCCCAGCATCCATCCAGATGCGCCTTTCCCTCTCTACACATTGACCATCTTATCAATTTTTAATCATTCTCCTGCTAAAATTAAGCTTACCAGCGCGTAAAAACAATTTTTTTTTTTTGCCTCTTCAAGCTCACTGCTGAGCATTTCCCTGTCCCTCAGGGCCTTGCTCATCCCCTTGGCCAACAGTTACCATTCCGGCAGGACTCCTGCCAGCCTGTGAGTGCTTTCGAGTGAATATCATTGAGCCCTGTCTCCTCTTTCAGTGCTTTCGGCTTGAGCTGGGGAAAATTAATTTTTCATTTGCGTGGGGCCAGAAGCACCCCAAGGTGGTGGGGAGCCAGAAAAAAAACCCAGCTTTTATCTTTTTTTTTTCCTTGGAATGTTCACAGGTCAAATGTGAGAAAGAGCAGAGGAAAGTAATTTTGAGCCTGGGGGATTGCAGTTTGTACTTGCTTTGCAGCAAGAAAAGAGCTAACCCTGATGCTTTGCATGGTGCCCCCAGTTTTTGAGGCTTCAGAAAACCTCAGCTTGATGCCCACAGGGATACTTTCCCCTCCACACAGGATGGTGTTTGCATTACTCCTCTGGATTTAGCCAAAAATCCCCTTTCTCCACATCATCCTTTCAGGCCACAATTTATTCCTGCCT